TCACTTTTTCCCCCTTCCCTTTACAGAACTTTAAAAAATTGCTTTTTGATGATTTGGCAAATTTTATTTATTTTTAAATGAATTTCACTTATTGAGTTTGATAATTCCAGGTTTTATTTACTTTGAAATTGCATTTTCCACTTGCTTCCAATAAGTTCTGGCAAAATGTAGTCCAACAGGCCAGTGATGTAAAGATTAAGAAAAAAATCAGTTGACCTACTCTGTAAATGCAGTAATTATCTTTTATACAAAACTAAAAACATGGTAAGATTGAAGTAAAAATTACTAGCAAAGTTTTAACCCTAAATTCCTTAAGAACAAGGTATTTAAGTAAATATAAAAGCATTTTATATTTTCCATTTGAAAAATCTTGAAAATATCTGGGCACTGTCCAAATATATTTTCAAGCTCTGATGTCATAATAGAGTGCTACAAAGTAATCGACGCTTATTCAAAAAATTCTTTTTATATAGACACCAAGAAACTGGAAACAAAAAGCGGCCTGATAAATTCTGTAGTACTCTCATAGAAAAAGATGCTCTTGAGATAATATAAAATAGTCATGTGCTTTCTGAATCATCAGAGCACTAACAGTCATCTCAGCATTAAGGGCAATTTTAGTGAAAGCCAGATCTCTGAAAACTTAACAGAGATATAATAACTCATTTGTAATATCAAAATACACTTAGCTGAAACACTGAAATAGTGATGGCAGATATGCAAGAAAAACTACAATTTAAACAAGAATCCTCTTGGTTCTTGAGGAAGTTGATGAAGTGAATTACTACCAAAATAAGAGCTTATAAAATGTTAGTTCACTTTAATCTGTATGTCTAGCTTCAAAAAATGGTATGAAGAAAAAGTTGACTTAAATACTTCCAAAATAAAGTGAGCAGTAGTTCTTACTCTATTTCGGAGTTATTTAACATTTTAAATATAATATGTAATCAATTCTGTTTTCTTACACACACACACACACACACACACACCCTAAAACTTGATGTCCACTTTGTTGACAGAGTTTTGTGGTTCTGCTTATGTAGCCAAGAAGCTCTCAGAAAGACATTCAGGATTCCCAACATCTATCAATGTAACAACAGGAGAGCTAACTTTTTCTATGAGAAGTAGAGATTCTGGATTGAGGTTGAATTTTTTAAACTTTTCTCATTTTATTTTTGAAACAATCCATTTTAGTATCAAGCAGTTAGAAAATTGTGACATCACAATTACAGGATAGAATTTTGTGAAGTCTTACAACCATAATCCATTTTCTTACTTCCTTCTTTTTGGACTAAATTACATAGTTCTGAAGTTAAATTTCAATCTGTTGACATTTAGGGTGGTATGGTACCATTCTCATTTACTGTGAAACTCTCATTTTCACATTATGAAAACGCAGAAAACACATTTGTAAATTAATGTTTCTAGGTAATGAGAGAAAACTGAGTGGCAAAATCAAATGATAATCATTAATTATGGTCCAGAAGATACACTCTGCCTTTTAGCTAGTTCAGGTATGACTACTCTTGATTACTAGTAATCTCTGGCCACAAGGCTTTCCTAGAGTAGAAAAGAAAGGAAACTACTATTTTCTATTTCCCTGACAGCCAGAAGTGTGAATTTTGGGTATTGAAAATGTTAAATACAAAGAAACTAAATATATTTAAAATGCAATTCTTCCAAGAAGGTTATGTTTGCTTCTTGCTTAAAACATTTTGTTAAAATTAAAGGTAGTAGAGGTTATAACATTTTAACAATGCACACAAAGAAATCCAAAGGCAAAATTAAACATAAAAGATGTATTGTCCTTTTTTGGTTCTTAACATATGCAGCCCCTCAAACAGCAAACTTCCCAGTTACTTTTTTAAATAAGTAGATTAAAAACAAGATTAACAAAATGTCCAAAGCATGTCAAATTATAGCCTCTACTAGTTAAAAATTCTATTGGTTGTAAAACTCTGTTGGTGGCCATTTTGACCTAGGATTTTTAATATAAATGAGACTAGAAATGACAGGGGGTGGAGGAAGGGATTTTCTTTCTTGAATAAAGAGGGAAAATTTTATCTAGAATGAATTATCTGAAAGATGAAAGGAAAATTCAAAATCAGGCTTTACCAAATATCTGAAAATGTAACAAATTAAACTATAAGAGTGTTATACAACTAAAGACTTAAAAAATCTTCCTAAATATTTTTAAGCAGGTAAATACATGAGTGACTTGGGGAAATTATTTAATGCTAAGTAACAATCATATAAATAAATATATACAATCAAAAAATCAAATAAAAATGAATAAATAAAAATAATTTTTCCATGCAGGTCTCCTCAAAACTGATAATTGAAAGTCATTAAACTATATGATTTTATAGTTATTAAATATATCAAGAAAAAGATATGGTCAAATAACTGTCATAATGTACACTCATATGTATCTATCTATACATCTAGATGTTCAGATATAATCTAGATAGATTTATATAATGTCTTAGAGTTTTATTAGCATGTACCCTCAAGAATGATGATCTTAGTTTTTATTAATGTAGTGAGGTTTAGGCAAGTTTGATTAAGAAGGTATTCTGTTCAGATATAAATTGTTAAGGAATTTTCACTTGGTCTCTCATGAAATTGCTGAAAAAGAGAACATTCCCTTCTGCAACTTTCTTCTTGCTTCAGAATACATTTTAAGGAATTTTTGATGTGGAACATTTTGTAAGTCCATTCATACTGATCAACTTCTCCATCTTATGTGCTTGAGAAATAATATTCTGTTTAGCTTAAAACCAATTTTTTTTTTAAATAAGAAAATTGTTCTTGTACTTGTAGTGGACTTTAAACTGCAGTTGCTAAACTTCAGGTTGCTCTATAAATGACCTTGTAGTCTTATTGATTGGGAGGCAGTTATAAGTAATGGAAAAGTTTTTCAATGTAAACATTCTCCAGTTGGATACATTTCTCCCTCCAAAACATAGCTCATTTTTTGGTTAGAAGAAGAAATTAATCAATAATTAAGTGTAGAAATTTCCAGAGTTTTGAGAGGACTGGTTTAAATGACTAAAGAGTAGCAATTTTAACCTAGGTTTCCTTACTTGGTCATTGCTCTGATTGACGCCACATTCACGTGTGAGGGCTACTGTGAGTCAATAGATGGCAGTCCATCGCCTAGTAAAAGAGCTGAAGATGACTAAACTGAGCATGTATCTTCCCTTTATTCAGGATTAAGTACTGTTAATTGTACACATTTGGATATTGCCAATATACATAATGATTTTATTTTGAATGGACTGACATATATGTACACTTGTTTGTAAATACACAAGTTAAGAATGGTGAATTCTTAATTGATCAACATTAATTGTGGTAGTCATTTTAATGTTATTTTGAAAAATTAATCAGATTCTAGATTGAGACAGATTTTCTAAATGATTGTGTTATACCTCTTGATAGAATATATTCTAATTCCTCAAAAGGCAAATGCATTTTGTTTTGGTTTTTTAATTTCTAACTCTTCTTTTTACAATTTATGTTTTTCAAAAGCTATAATTTTAAAGAAGTCTTCAACTATTTCTGCCATATTAAATAACCAACTTCTATCCTTCTATAACAGTGCTATATAAAAGGTAGTGGTTGCAAATAATGAAAGGAATAGCCTTAAAATAATATTAAATAGTACTTTTCACACTTCAAGTTTTCAAGATTGGAATTCTCTAACTTAGGGGAAAAAGGAAAAGAAGTGCAATTTCTATTACTTAGTAAGACTGGTAAAAAAAAAGTGCTGGATAGTTACAAAGAGTGGGATCTTGGAAAGCAAAATATATGACTGGATTCCAATCAGGCTTAGGCTATAAGGATTAGGAATAAATTATTCTAATATAGGATAAAAACATATTCTAATCTAGGATAAGCAGAAACTTAACTTATCCATGAGTTACATCTATAACATATACATGTAATATACTCATAAATGCAAATATTTCTTTCTTTTTGGTATAACACTAAAGATTTTAACAAAATCCAATCTGGGACTTGAGGGATAGTTGAGGAATTATATTTTTTTACTGAGAATCTTTAACAGCTATAACAGATTGTGAAAACTAGCCACTTGATATTACTCCTGGCTTCTTGGGTCTGTGGTAAACATATTATTAAGTTTGACTCTACTTCTTTGTTTACTTTTTATTTTTGTAAGAGGAATCTAGTAAGAAGACATGTTTTGGAAAATTTTGTACTTTCTATTTTTACTACTTTTCTCAAAAAAAAAAAAAAAAACTTCCTATATTGTAAACCTTAAGGAATAGTCAACACATTTAATAATTAAAAGAAATGACTAGTAGGACCATGTTGAATTACTGAAAATAAGCTGACTTCATGATATTGAGCATTCGTGAGCGGATTTCCATAGCAAACTGCGTTTTCCCCTTCTACTTAGCCTAAAATCAGAATAAAAGGAAACCAGAGGGTTGAATAACCTGAATGGTATTAAACAGATATTTATATACTTTGAACACATCAAGAAGGGCTTAAGGACATGACAATTATTGCTCTATAAGAAATATAACACTAAGCTTTTTCTAATTTCATTAAAAATATGTAAATAATTCAGTAAAGTACGAAAAATGATAATGGAGGATATTGTGGACTGTATGCTTGTGGACTACAGACAGTACAACATTTTAAAGGCCCTGGCTTACTATTATTTTTGTGGTACCTAACATACTTTTCCCCTTTGATTTAATGAATGTAGTTTGGGAATACTGAGATACCATGATGTAATAATGATGTGAGTAATAAGCAATCAAAATGCTTTAAGAACAGGAATATAAAGAATAGGATAGTGGGCAGGGGAGAAGAGAAAAAGTATATTATTGCCTTCTCAGTGTAAAACTCTTCAGATGTTTATTATCTTCCAGCAGAAGATGCTTGTCTATATTTTATGGTCAGCAGTTCAGAGAAGGGTAAATAGGCTAGGTCTTGGGGAAAATAAAAAAGGTGTTTCTACTCACCGTTAGGTGATACTGCCTCCAGATTTCTGGGCAAGCCTGGAAAATAAAAATATTGATCAGCTGGGAGCATGAAACAAGGTACTTTACAGCCTGTTGGTTTTGGCATAACCCAGCATCCACCGGTGTCGGTCACAGGAAAATAAGAAGCTTAACAGAAAGGGTCTGCATTTCAGCTTCAAAAACCTGGCTAGACAGTTTAATTGAATTTTACACTGGTTTAACACACTCCCTGCCATTGTCAGAAAGCCAGTAACAAAGTTTTCTCTCATTTTTTCTTTTCAGGTAGAAGTTTTGGGCACTAAGATGTGATTAAGAGCCATAACTCAGTTAAACTGATAAATGAACAGCAGTGGTCAAAATCAATAAGTCTCACCAAGTATACTTTTTAAAAGAACATTTTGAGTCTTGGGAGTATGACAGAAAACAATTTAATAGCAACTGCTTTTAAGAAGAATTCATTGTGGTTATATATTTCTGATGTTTACTGCCATCTTTTACCTAATCACTTGCTACTAACCTCCAATACTCTATAAAATAGAGCAAAAAGAGAACAACAAAAAACCAAAATCTTAAGAATCTAAAGTCTATGCCTTTTCCCTTAAAAAGTTTTCTCCATCTTTACATTTATAGAGAAATAAGTTTTTAAAAAACCAATAAAATCTCAATGAATTTTTTAAAAGATGGATTACTTAAACCAGAACAGGTTACAATAAAACAAAACAAACAGAAATAATAACAACAAAACCCAGTTAGGAGTGTATCTTATGGATACACATACAAATTTTCTTTTTTTATATCTAAAATATGACTCTGGAGACACTTTTTCTAACCAGGCTCTTTATGAATAGTTGATTAGTTTACCAACTTCTTAAAACACACACATACATGCACACACAAACTATTAATGACAAAAAGTATTTTTTAAAAATAAAAAACTACACTTCATCAATGCTTTTAACAAATTAAGCCACCAAGCTAAATAAATGGCAATTTTTTAAGGTGAGTATGAATTTATAACTTTTGCTTAAAAATGTGTGTGTATGTTCACATGTGTGTATACATACACATAGGCATGCCTAAAATGAGAATGAATTTGTCCTTCAAAAATCTTTAAACAGCTCTTTACCTAATTTGTCATTCTTTATTTTTTCAGGGTAGTGATAGAACTAACAGATAATTCATCTAATCTAAAAATATCTTAGGCATGGTAAATAGTTCAGAAAATAACTTTCTGAATGGTGAAATGTCCAGAGCATACGCTCTTAAGTGATTAGACATAAAAAAGTACGTATGTTCCAACTAAGCTGAAAATTTTATTCATTGTGCATTTAAACCTAACTATCCTATGTAATTCTCTAAAGAAAGGTATATAAATTAGATTTCTTAGTGGTCAGCTTTCCAATTTAAAAGTCTTATTTGTGCAAACTAAACTGACTAAAATAAGCCACTTATACACAGTGATATCTGGATAAACAACACTGATAAAACTGTTTTTGAAAAGTAAAATGTAGCTTCTTTGGAAGCCAAAGTTCATGTTAGGCACCAAATAAGATACACAAACTTGTATTTATAAATATATAAATATCTATTTTTATATTTACACACAAAGATCTAATGTACAATATATCCTTAAATACTCATTTCCTACTTCTATCATAAGCTTTTTGCTGTGTATATATAATTCGAGTTGGATTACTGTAGAGATAAGCAAGCAGTTATTTATACATTAGTTATGGATAGTTCTTGATTACCACAGTGTCCTCAGAATAATACGGTTGAAAAATCGCAATCACTGAGATGTCATACACTGGCAGAATGCCACTCTACCATGTGACCTTTTCTTGTGTTGCAGCAATTTAGTAATAAAAGAAAGAATTACTTGGTTTTTGAACAATCATCTGATTGCTCTGTACAAGAAGATGATGCCTGATACAGAAAATTAGTAGCGAGCGACGTGAAACTTCTTTTCTCTTATTAGAGAAGAGCATTACAATTTAAAAAGCCCTACCTATCTCTAGCACTTTTGCTCAACATTCCCATGCACAGACTCATTTTATTATTTTCTATATGTTTCTGTGTAAGGTTAAAAAATAAAGATCACTTCAAAAATAGGTGCCAATATAAAACATCACACCTTTAATTCTTAATCAATAACATATATCTATGGGTCATTACTGAGTTTTTAAAATGTTAATTTCCTTTACTTGTCTTGCTTCTATTTCTTTTTACCACCCCTTAGTCTTTACACAGAATTTTCTTTTTATCAAACAGAATGCCATCATATCCATATTTATGTACTACTGCATGGAAAATGTAGATGGGAGAAAGCAACTAGTAAAGCAAGAGGCTTACTATCTATCTGAAACTTTTAAAGGAGTTATTTAAAAACATTTAAAGTGAACAAGACTAGTCTGCTGTGGCATCCATCTAAGCTGAAAACAAAGCCAACTATTAAAATACAATTCTATATCTTGGCTGTCTTAGTGATCTCACCTCACTGGCACTTAGATGGATGGCAAACCGAAGGGCCTCCTCA